CAGGTGTGGTGGTGTAGATGTGTTAGCTACAGGTGTGGTGGGTGTAGTAGGTGGTTTGCTGCAGGTGTGGTGGTGTAGTAGGTGTGTTTGCTGCAGGTGTGGTGGTGTAGGTGTGTTGCTGGGTGTGGTGGTGTAGTAGGTGTTAGCTGCAGGTGTGGTGGTGTAGTAGGTGTGTTAGCTACAGGTGTGGTGGTGTAGTAGGTGTGTTTGCTGCAGGTGTGGTGGTGTAGTAGGTGTGTTGCTGCAGGTGGTGGTGTAGTAGGTGTGTTTGCTGCAGGTGTGTGGTAGTAGGTGTGTTTGCTGCAGGTGTGGTGGTGTAGTAGGTGTTAGCTGCAGGTGTGGTGGTGTAGTAGGTGTTAGCTGCAGTGTGGTGTAGTGGTGTTTGCTGGTGTGTGTAGGTGTGTTAGCTACAGGTGGTGGTGTAGTAGGTGTGTTTGCTGCAGTGTGGTGGTGTAGTGGGTGTGTTAGCTGCAGGTGTGGTGGTGTAGTAGGTGTGTTAGCTGCAGGTGTGGTGGTAGTAGGTGTGTTAGCTGCAGGTGTGGTGGTGTGTAGTGTGTGTTTGCTGCAGGTGTGGTGGTGTAGTAGTGTGTTAGCTACAGGTGGTGTGTGTAGGTGTGTTAGCTACAGGTGTGTGGTGGTAGGTGTGTTTGCTGCAGGTGTGGTGGTGTGTAGCTGCAGGTGTGGGTGTAGTAGATGTGTTAGCTGCAGGTGTGGTGGTGTGTTGAGGTGTGTAGGTGTTTCCAGGTGGTGGTGTAGTAGGGTGTGTTGCTGCAGGTGGTGGTGTAGTAGGTGTTAGCTGCAGGTGTGGTGGTGTAGTAGGTGTGTTAGCACAGGTGGTGGTGTAGGTGTGTTAGCTACAGGTGTGTGTGTAGTAGATGTGTTAGCTGTAGGTGTGTTGGTGTGGTGGTGTAGTAGGTGTGTTTGCTGCAGGTGTGGTGTGTGTGTGGTTGGATGGTTGATGATGGTGGTGGAAGGGTCTCTCTCTCTCTCTCTCACCACTGTATCGCCATAATCTCTGTAGTTGATAATTACATCAGAGAAGCTTCGTAACGACCCTGAACTTAAAGGGGATTTAGGGCTGTTCAGCTAAGCCCTCAGGAGTTGAGCCCTTAGTGGTTGGGGAGTTCTGTTGAGCCCTTAATGTTTGGGGTGTTCAGTTGAGCCCTTAAAGATTGGGGCGTTCGAGGACCCTTAAAATAGGGGTTGAGCCTAATGATGGGGGTTCAGTTGAGCCCTTAATGATTGGAGCGTTCAGTTGAGCCCTTAAAGATTAGGGCGTTCAGTTGAGCCCTTAAAGATTAGGGCGTTTAGTTGAGCCCTAGGGGCGTTCAGTTGAGCCCTTAATGATTGGGGCGTTCAGTTGAGCCCTTAATGATTGGAGCGTTCAGTTGAGCCCTTAAAGATTAGGGGCGTTCAGTTGAGCCCTTAAAGATTAGGGCGTTCAGTTGAGCCCTTAAAGATTAGGGCGTTCAGTTGAGCCTCTTAATGATATCGTTCGTTGAGCCTTAAAGATTAGGGCGTTCAGTTGAGCCCTTGATGATTGGGGCGTTCAGTTGAGACTACAAAAGTGACATATGAGAGCGTTCAGTTCATGTCCCAAATCTGTGAACGTTCAACTAATCTGTCAAGAATTAATCTGGACGCGTTCAGCTGAAATCTCTCATAAATGACCTAAGTTTCAGAGGCGAAATCTGAAGACGTTGACCTGTGACCCATGACGTGTGTGTGAAATCGGTGATGAAATCGGGAAAATCGGGCTAACGTAATATCGTCTTGTGAACAGTTTCGTCCAGATTTTAATAACAAACTTTGTCTCTATTGATTATAGTTGGAGGAGATTTTGTTATTTATTTTGGGGGAGAGAGTAGGGAGGACGAGAGGAAATATGAGGGGTTAGGAGGAGGGATTGAGGAGACGGGGAGGGGGTGAGGGAAAGAGTAGACAGGTGAAGATAGGAGGTGAGGGGAGAGGGACGGTGGGTGAGGAGAGGAGGGGAGAGGAAGGGAAGGTGAGGGGAGATGGAGGGAGGTGAGGGGAGATGGAGGAGAGAGAGGCTGCAGGGAGATGATGGTGAGAGGGAGGGTGAGGGAGGAGGGGGGAGATGAGGGGAGAGTGAGGGCCAGCGGGTGATTGGTTCCTCTAAGTGGATCAGGAAAGGACTACCTGCCTGGCTTTCCCCTCACCCATTGTCTCTCCTCACCCATTATCTCTCCCTCAATCTCCTCACCCATTATCTTTCCCATTGTCTCTCTCTCACCCATTATCTCCCTTGTCTCCTCACCCATTATATCTCCCTTGTCTCCCCACCCATTTATTTCCCTATATCACCCTCACCCATTATCTTCCCTATATCTCCCTCACCATTATCTCCCTATATCTCCCTCACCCATAATCTCCCCATATCTCCTCACCCATTATCTCCCCCAATATCACTCCCTCACCCATTATCTCCTCACCCATTATCTCCCTATATCTCCCTCACCCATAATCTCTCCCTGTATCTCCTCACCCATTATCTCCCTCACCCATTATCTCTCCCTCACCCATTATCTCCCCTATATCTCTCCTCACCCATTATCTCACCCCTCATTCTCCCTCACCCATTATCTCCCATATCTTCCCTCACCCATTATCTCCCTCACCCATTATCTCTCCCATATCTCCTCATCCATTATCTCCCTATATCTCCCTCACCCATTATCTCCTCATCTCTCTCCCTCACCCATTATCTCCCATCTCTCTCACCCATTATCTCCTATATCTCCTTCACCCATTATCTCTCCCTATATCTCCCTAACCCATATCTCCTATATCTCTCCTCACCCATAATCTCTCCCTATATCTCCCTCACCCATTATCCTCTATATCTCTCTCACCCATTATCTCCCTCACCCATTGTCTCACCCATTGTCTCCCTCACCCATTATTCTTATATATCTCTCACCCATTATCTCTCACCCTTGTTCCCCACCCATTGTCTTTCTCACCCATTATCTCCCTTATATATCTCCTCACCATTATCTCCCTATATCTCCCTCACCCATAATCTCCCTATATCTCCTCACCCATTATCTCTCCCTTGTCTCCTCACCCATTATTCTCATGCATTATCTCCCTTGTCTCTCCCCATTCATTGTCTTTCCCTCACCCATTATCTCCCCTATCTCCCTCACCCATTATCTCTCCCTCAATCTCTCCCCACCCATTGTCTCCTCACCCATTATCTCCCTATCTCTCCTCCATTTCTTTATATCTCTCCCTCACCCATTATCTCCCTATCTCCTTACCCATAATCTCTCCTCACCCATTATCTCCCTATCTCTCCTTACCCATAATCTCTCCTATATCTCTCCTCACCCATTATCTCCTCATATCTCTCCCTCACCCATAATCTCTCCTATATCTCTCCCCACCCATTATCTCCCTATATCTCTCCTCACCCATAATCTCCCTATATCTCTCCCTCACCCATTATCTCTCCTCATATCTCCTCACCCATTCTCCTCATATCTCCTCACCCATTAATCTCTCCCTGTATCTCTCTCACCCATTATCTCCCTATATCTCTCCCTCACCCATAATCTCTCTATATCTCTCTCACCCATTATGTCTCCCCTGTCTCTCCCCCACCCATTGTCTTTCCCCACCCAGTATCTCTCCCTAAATCTCTCCCTCACCCATTATCTCCCTATATCTCCCTCACCCATTATCTCCTATATCTCTCCTCCCTCACCCATAATCTTCCCATATCTCTCCCTCACCCATTATCTTCCCTATATCTCTCCTCACCATTATCTCTCTCTCTATATCCCCTCACCCATTACCTCCCTATATCTCTCCCTCACCCATAATCTCCTCACCCATTATCTCCTCATATCCCCTCACCCATTATCTCTCCCTATCTCTCCCTCACCCATAATCTCTCTATATCTCTCCCTCACCCATTACCTCCCTATATCTCTCTCCCCTTCTCTCCATTCTCTCCCCCTAATCTCTCCTATCTCTCCTCACCCATAATCTCTCTCTATATCTCTCTCTCATATCTCTCCCCCTTGTCTCCCCACCCATTGTCTTTCCCTCACCCATTATCTCCTCTATATCTCTCCCTCACCCATTATCTCTCCCTATATCTCTCCCTACCCATTATCTCACCTTATCTCTCTCATATCTCTCCCTCACCCAGTATCTCTCCTCAATCTCTCCCTCACCCAGTCTCTCCCTCACCCATTATCACCCTGTCTCCCCCTCTCCCATTATCTCCTTATCTCCCCTCTACCTCTCACCTTATCTTTCTCTCACTCATTATCTCTCCCTCTCCTCTATCATTATCTCCCCTATATCTCTTATTCTCCCTTATCTCTCTCCTCATTATCTCTCCTACCTTATCTCTCCCTCACCCATTATCTCACCCCTTATCTCCCCTCTTATCTCACCCTTATCTCTCCCTCCCATTATCTCACCCCTCCCTCACCATTATCTCACCCTTATCTCTCCCTCACCCATTATCTCCTATATCTCTCCCTCACTCATTATCTCCCTTCTCCTCCTTATCTCATCTCTCCCTCACCCTTATCTCTATCTCCCCTCTATTCCCTTCTCCCTCACCCATTATCTCACCTTTCTCTCCTCTATCTCTCTCCCTCCTTATCTCATATCTCTCCCTCACCCATTATCTCACCCTTATCTCCTCACCATTATCTCACCCCTTATCTCCTCACCCATTATCTCACCCTCCCTCATATATCTCACCCCTTATCTCACCCTCACATTATCTCACACTTTAACAAATTTTGTTTTCTACAACAATAATAATAATAATAATAATAATAATAATAATAATAATAATAATAATAAACGAGAATAAACTGATAAACAAACGGGGCATAATAATATATTCTAAGTACTTTAAATGCCCTCAAGACCAAAATTCCTCAAATATTCAAAAGTTATCTCAAAGTATAAAAATGCCCCAAATGCTTTAAATGCCCCCAAATGCCCAAATGCCCCCAAATGCTAATGACCCTCAAAATGCCCCCAAAATGTCGTTAAAAGCCCCAGAAATGCCCAAATGCCCTCAATCCCCACAAGCCACCCATTATGCCCGTCAAGCTCCTAATGTTGTTTTTTTTTTCTATCTATTTCAGGTAAATTGATGACGTCAGCGACACCTAGGTATATTAAGGTAATTAGATTGATGACGTCATGAACACCAGGGTATATTAAGGTAAATAGATTGGTGACGTCATGATCATCCAGATATTTTAAGGTAAATAAATTGATGACGTCATTAACACCCAGGTATGTGTATATATGTATTCTCATATTTTCTCGTAAGTCAAAAAGATAGAATTTCCTTAACTGTCTGACTCAAATTACAGCATCAACATGACCTTCAAAATGGCGGAGAAATGCCGCTTAGACTCTCCTTTAACTGTTTTATTGTTAGTCCGGTAAATGTCCCCAATTTAGCGGAATTTGACGATTATGCGCACCAAGTTAGTCCAATCAGCTGATATAATGTTCGATTGTGTATGTCTGCCAAGTCCTTTCTGTCATTCTGTGTTTATACCTACACGCTGGAAAAGTAACCAATCAGAATCTGGAATAATAAGAGTAAATTGTACTTATTGGTTGCTTCTATTTATAATACGTTCGATTGCAATATTACGTATACGGCCCATTCCTTCCCGCCACTCCGTGTTTTTACCTGTTCACTTAAAATCCGACCAATCAGAATGCAAACTATTAAAATAAGCTTTCTTATTGGACCAAACAGCTTTATAAAGTTAAAATTATTCTGTTCCATAAATGGCCTATTCCTTCTCGTCATCTTGTGTTATATACCCACCCACCCACCTAAAACCCGACCAATCAGAATGCGGAATAATAAATATGACGTTCTTATTGGCCGGTCAGTATCTGGGTGAAATTAGTGCAAATTGGGTGAAATTGCGGGGAAATTATGGAAGAAATTACCGAGGGAGGCGCACGAACCTGACCCCATGATGTATTATACAGCGTCACCGGTAATGGCCTCCAGGTACAGCTATTTATGAAGGCAATTTTATAAGTTGAAATTTATTATTGTTTGTTGATTGTAATTAAGAACTCAGGTGTTATGGCCGTCATTTGGTGGGTTTACTTGAATACGTGCGGTTAAGATGCGGTTATGGCTGCGGTAGTACGGTCAGGTGTCTAGGTGCGGTTAAGATGCGGTTATGGCTGCGGTAGTACGGTCAGGTGTCTAGGTGCGGTTAAGATGCGGTTATGGCTGCGTGTAGGTCAGGTGTCTAGGTGCGGTAAATGCGGTTATGGCTGGTAGTCGGTCAGGTGTCTGTGTTAAGATGCGTTATGCTGCGTACGGTCGGTCTGGTGCGTAAATGGTTATGTGCGGTAGTAGGTCAGTGTCTGGTGCGTTAAGATGCGGTTATGGCTGGGGTAGTACGGTAGGTCTGGTGGGTAGATGCGGTTATGGCTGCGGTAGTACGGTCAGTGTCTAGGTGCGGTAAGTGCGGTGGTGAGGTAGTGTTCAGGTGTCAAGGTGCGGTAAATGGTGCGGTGTTGGTTATGCGTCAAGCTGCGGTAGTGCGGTGCGGTGTATAAGGAGACCGTGTTGGAGCAAAGGAATAAATCCTCCCTCACGCGGAAAATCATTATCGGTTTGTCAGTCAGGGAAGGTTGACACACACACACACACACACACACACACTAACACACACATAACACACACACACACACACACACACGAACACACACACACACACACAACACACACTAACACACACACACACACACGAACACACACACACTAACACACACACACACACACACACAACACACACGCACACACACACACACACACACACTAACACACACACACACTAACACACACACACACACACACACTAACACACACACACACACACGAACACACACACACACACTAACACACACACACACACACACACACACACACACACACACACACTAACACACACACACACACACTAACACACACACACACACACGACACACACTACACACACACACAACACACACACACACACACACACTAACACACACACACGAACACACACACACACACACACACACACACACACACACGAAGAGACAAACAGACAGACAGACTAAAGAAAGACAATTTTATTATCCCCGCTGGTGAGGTCCTATGTTAAGCGTTCACCTGTCTGTCTGTTAGTTGATCTGTATGTTAGTCTGTTTGTTTGTGTTTTAACTGGTCTGTGTGTGTGTGTCTGTGTGTGTGAGTGGAGTGTGAGTTTGTAGATGCCTGTATCTGTCTGTCTGTTAATTCGTCTGTTTGTCTGTTTATTCATTTATTAGTCACTCCCTACATCCTTGTGTAAGGTGAAGCGCAGAAGCGTTTACAGCGCCCAACAGGGAAGCATGCTAAGTTCATGCTTGCCTTATGTGTCTCATAGTTAAGGGCGTAGAAGCCTGAAGAGTCAAGGGCGTAGAAGCCTGAAGAGTCAGGGCGTGAAAGCCTGAAGAGTCAGGGCGTAAAGCCTGAAGAGCCAAGGGCGTAGAAGCCTGAAGAGTCAAGGGCGTAGAAGCCTGAAGAGTCAGGGCGTAGAAGCCTGAAGAGTCAAGGGCGTGAAAGCCTGAAGAGTCAAGGGCGTAGAAGCCTGAAAGAGTTAAGGCAAGCCTGAAGAGAGTCAAGGGCGTAGAAGCCTGAAAGAGTCAATGGTTTATGTCATCAAGTTATTGGAGCTCCAACAACTCCCCTGAATACGAATTGGCAACTTTCGACTTACAACAGGTACCTACTTTACTGCTCGGTGAACAGGGGCCGGGGACTAGGAAGAGTGTCCAAACAACTTCCGCCGGCCAGGAATCGAACCCTGACATCTTGCTTGCGAGGCAAGAACGGTACCGCTCTACCACCAGCTCCCTGTTTGTTAATACAAGAGTAACATTACTTGGATTCATTCAGAGGTCAACAGGTCAAGCTTACCAAGGTCAAAGGTCAAGCTCGGGAAAAGGTCAGAGGTGAGAGTTTATAGTACGAGAGAAAAATATATATTTTCTCAAACTTTTAAGGTCTATAACTTTTGTTGACTTTGGGTAATAAACCATAGAACCCGGCCAACAGTCCACACCCGGCCAACAGTCCCACCCACCAACAGTCCCCCACCCGGCCAACAGTCCCACACCCGGCCAACACTCCCACCCGGCAACAGTCCCCCACCGGCCAACAGTCCCCACACCCGGCCAACAGTCCCACACCCGGCCAACAGTCTCCCCACCCGGCCAACAGTCCCCAATACTCCCCCACCCGGCCAACAGTCCCCCACCCGGCCAACAGTCCCCACCCGGCAACAGTCCCACACCCGGCCAACAGTCCCACCGCCAACAGTCCCCCACCCGGCCAACAGTCCCCCACCCTGCCAACAGTCCCACACCCGGCCAACAGTCCCCCACCCGACCCCACCCGCCAACAGTCCCCACCCGGCCAACAGTCCCACACCCGGCCAACAGTCCCACACCCGGCCAACAGTCCCACACCCGGCCAACAGTCCCCACCCGGCCAACAGTCCCCCGGCCAACACTCCCCCACCCGGCCAACAGTCCCCACCCGGCCAACAGTCCCCACCCCGGCCAACAGTCCCACACCCGGCCAACAGTCCCACCCGGCCAACAGTCTCCCACCCGGCCAACAGTCCCCCAACACTCCCCACCGGCCAACAGTCCCCCACCCGGCCAACAGTCCCACACCCGGCCACAGTCCCACACCCGGCCAACAGTCCCCAACACTCCCCACCCGGCCAACAGTCCCCCACCCGGCCAACAGTCCCACACCCGGCCAACAGTCCCCACCCGGCCAACAGTCCCCACCCGGCCAACAGTCCACCCGGCCAGTCCCCACCCGGCCAACAGTCCACACCCGGCCAACAGTCCCACAGGCCAACAGTCCCACACCCGGCCAACAGTCCCCACCCGGCCAACAGTCCCCACCGGCCAACAGTCCCCACCCGGCCAACAGTCCCCACCCGGCCAACAGTCCCCCACCCGGCCAACAGTCCCCCACCCGGCCAACAGTCCCCCACCCGGCCAACAGTCCCCACCCGGCCAACAGTCCCCACCCGGCCAACAGTCCCCCACCCGGCCAACAGTCCCCACCCGGCCAACAGTCCCCCACCCGGCCAACAGTCCCCCACCGGCCAACAGTCCCTGCCAGCCAACATGTCCCCCACCCGGCCAACAGTCCCCACCCGGCCAACAGTCCCCCACCGGCCAACAGTCCCACACCCGGCCAACAGTCCCACACCCGGCCAACAGTCCCACACCCGGCAACAGTCCACACCCGGCCAACAGTCCCCCACCCGGCCAACAGTCCACCCAACGTCCACACCCGGCCAACAGTCCCACACCCGGCCAACAGTCCCCCACCCGGCCGCCTCCCCACCCGGCCAACAGTCCCCACCCGGCAACAGTCCCCCACCGGCCAACAGTCCCACCCCCAACATTCCCACACCCGGCCAACAGTCCCACACCCGGCCAACAGTCCCACACCCGGCCAACAGTCCCCACCCGGCCAACAGTCCCCCACCCGGCCAACAGTCCCACCCGGCCAACAGTCCCCACCCGACCAACAGTTCCACACCCGGCCAACAGTCCCACACCGGCCAACAGTCCCCCACCCGGCCAACAGTCCCCACCCGCCCAACAGTCCCACACCGGCCAACATTCCCACCCGGCCAACAGTCCCACCGGCCAACAGTCCCACCAGCCAACAGTCCCCCACCCGGCCAACAGTCCCCACCCGGCCAACAGTCCACACCAGCCAACAGTCCCACACCCAGCCCGCTCCCCCACCAACAACACCCGGCCAACAGTCCCACACCCGGCCAACAGTCCCCACCCGGCCAACACAGCCAGACTTAAAGACAATTAATCTCGAGTTTTCTTTACCAAGTTTTGTTGGGATGTGACCCACCCTCAACCTGACCCACCCCCACCCCACCACCTGGCCCACCCACCACCTGGCCCACCCACCACCTGGCCACCACCACCCCACCACCCAGGGCATGAAATGATTTAGGTGAAAGTATTGGAGAAAGAGGAGAGGCGGGTAGGTGAGTGAGGAAGGTGAAGAAGAGAGAGAGATGGAATGAAAGTGACGTGGGGTTGGAGAGAAAGATGTGGAGACCTACCTAATCTACGTTTTAAACCGATAGAGTCGATGAGTTTACTTCGCCAGCTGATATGACAGACAAACAAACATATAAACATGTACTGTAGAATACCGACGGACAGACATGACAGACAGGATACAGACAGACATACCTCCACCACCAAGCACTAGCAAGGTTTGGCAGTGGACTACTGCACCACCCTCGTCATCATCACCTCCTGCCTGCAGTCCCCGCCCAACTCGCACAGTCCGCCACTACAACAAAATTCAGCCCATAAGAGCCGCACTGATAGATATAAAACAGCACCATCCCATCTATTGTTAAAATAATAAACAACTCCTCATTTATGTACTGTACATCCCTGTAAATGTGTTCAACTCATATTATATCATATGTCTAAATCAAAGGTAAGTCAGTATATTTTCAGCCACCGGCTGCAACTCTATTAATAAACCGTTTATTATTATTATTATTATTATTATTATTATTATTATTATTATTATTATTATTTTATATTACCTCTCGGGCACCCAACAAGCCAACATTATCAAACGTCTGGTATACAAGTCGTCCGTTTGGTGCCGGGAGTTGGCTGAAACTGTCGTACGTGTAAACTGTCCCCAACCCGTCTCCTCCTGTCACTTTCACCTGTGCCTTACCTGTCATTTACCCTGTCAGTCTCAACCTGTCACTTCCTCCTGTCACTTTCCCCTGACCACTCACCTGTTACTTCCCTCTGTCACCCTCTATGAGTAACGAGGACACCTGTGAGTGACGAGAAACACCTGGGGTGACGATTAACACCTTTGAATAACGAGTAACACCTGTGAGTGACGAGTAACACCTGTGAGTAACGAGTAACACCTGTGAGTGACGAGTAACACCTGTGAGCGACGAGTAACACCTTTGAGTGACGAGTAACACCTTCGAGTGACGAGGAGGCAGGTGGTGGGCGTGAGAGAGTCCTCCTCCGCCAGTAGCTGCTCCTGGTGGCTGCATATTTTATAGTTTAAAGAGAGTGTTGGCGAGGTGGCGTCCGGCTCGGGTGTTTGTCGGTCTCCTGCCCTCGGGTATTGGCCAGAACTCTCTTATTTTGTCCGGCGTGGGTGTCTGACTCCCTCCCACCCTCGAGTATTGGCCACAACTCTTATTTTGTCCGATTTTTGGGTACCTATGTATCTCCTGCCCTCGAGTATCGGACAGAACTTAATTTTGTCCGGTTTGGGTACCTGTGTCCCTACCACGAGGCCAAAATATAATTTGTCCGGTTTGGGTATGTGGCTGCCTAAAACCCACGAATATCGGTCAAAACTCTATTTGGTCCAACCTAACCTGACCTGACCAAACTTGACCTGACCTAACCCTAACCTAACCTGACCTGACCTGACCTGACCTTGACCTGACCTGTATTTCCTCCATCATTTGCCCTCGTTACCAGTTATTGTTCTAGAAGATATCAGCACCACTCACGTCCAATACTGATTATCATTCCTGACGCACAAGCTAATAGTTTTCATGACACGTCCACAACACGTTACTTACACCTGTTGTTGTGTCTCAGGTGTGGAGTTGTGTCTCAGGTGTGGAGTTGTTGTGTCTCAGGTGTGGAGTTGTTGGTCTCAGGTGTGGGGTTGTCGTGTCTCAGGTGGAGTTGTTGTGTCTCAGGTGTGGAGTTGCTGTGTCTCAGGTGGAGTTGTCGTGTCTCAGGTGTGGAGTTGTTGTGTCTCAGGTGTGGAGTTGCTGTGTCTCAGGTGTGGAGTTGTCGTGTCTCAGGTGGGGTTGTCGTGTCTCAGGTGGAGTTGTGTCTCAGGTGGAGGTTGTTGTGTCTCAGGTGTGTGGCTGTGTCTCAGGTGGGATGTTGTGTCTCAGGTGTGGAGTTGTTGTGTCTCAGGTGTGGAGTTGTCGTCTCAGGTGTGGAGTTGTCGTGTCTCAGGTGGGAGTTGTCGTGTCTCAGGTGGGGGTTGTGTCTCAGGTGTGGAGTTGTCGTCTCAGGTGTGGAGTTGTGTCTCAGGTGTGGAGTTGTCGTGTCTCAGGTGTGGAGTTGTTGTCTCAGGTGTGGGTTGTTGTCTCAGGTGTGGAGTTGTGTGTCTCAGGGGAGTTGTTGTCTCTCAGGTGTGGAGTTGTTGTGTCTCAGGTGTGGAGTTGTCGTGTCTCAGGTGTGGAGTTGTTGTCTCTCAGGTGTGGAGTTGTGTCTCAGGTGTGGAGTTATCGTGTCTCAGGTGTGGAGTTGTTGTGTCTCAGGTGTGGAGTTGTTGTGTCTCAGGTGTGGAGTGCTGAGTCATTATTGTTCATCTGTCTGCCTTGGATTGGTTCGTTAATAACCACCACCTCCTCCACAATTACCACAATCATTACTACTACTACTACTACTAATAATAATACTGCCATCACCATCACTACTACCACCATCACCACTACTACCACCATCACCACTACTACCACCACCACCACTACCACTACCACCACCACCACCACCACCACCACCACCACCACTCACCACCACCACCACCACCACCACCACCACCACTACCACTACCACCACCACCACCACCACCACTACCACCACCAACCCGGTAAAGGAAGTCAAGGTGAAACACGTCGTAAACATGTTATTAGTTGGTATAATCCTGGTTCCCATTTTTGTCTCCTGTTGTTGTGTAATAATAATAATAAAAAAATAATAATAATAATAATAATAATAAAAGTAATAATAATAATAATGAAATGTTGGGCATAGAGAGAGAGAGAGAGAGAGAGAGAGAGACTGGCTGCTGGTGGTCTGTGCTGTGGTAGAGGCCTGGCTGTGGTAGAGGTTGGCTGTGCTACACTGGCCGGATACATTAAAGGAATGATCCTGACTCAGCGCAGCCTATTACAGTGTCGGCTTCAGTGATGCCTCGCTGGGTAAGCTCTCTAACAACGTGAAGCCTCCCTCTAACAACATGAAGCCTCCCTCTAACAACGTGAAGCCTCCCTCTAACAACATGAAGCCTCCTCTAACAACGTGAAGCCTCTAACAACGAAGCCTCTAACAAAATGAAGCCTCCTCTAACAACATGAAGCCTCCTCTAACAACATGAAGCCTCCTTTTAACAACATGAAGCCTCCTTTAACAACATGAAGCCTCCTTTTAACAACAACATGAAGCCTCCTCTAACAACGTGAAGCCTCCTCTAACAACGTGAAGCCTCCTCTAACAACATGAAGCCTCCTTTAACAACGTGAAGCCTCCCTTTAACAACATGAAGCCTCCTCTAACAACATGAAGCCTCCTCTAACAACATAAAGCCTCCCTTAACAACATGAAGCTCTCCTTTAACAACGTAGCTCTCCTCAACAACATGAAGCCTCCCTCTAACAACATAAAGCCTCCTTAACAACATGAAGCCCCCTTTAACAACATGAAGCCCTTTAACAACATGAAGCCTCCAACATGGCTCTCAATGAAGCTCCTCTAAAACATGAAGCTCCTCTAACAACATGAAGCCTCCTAAACATGAAGCCTCTAACAACAACATGAAGCCTCCTCTAACAACATGAAGCCTCCTCAACAACATGAAGCCTCTAACAACATGAAGCCTCCCTCTAACAACATGAAGCCCTCTAACAACATGAAGCCCCCTCTAACAACTGGAAGCCTCCTCTAACAACATGAAGCCTCCCTCTAACAATGGCCTCTACAACATAAACCTCCCTCTAACAACATTTAACCTCCTCTAACAACATGAGCCTCCCTCTAACAACGTGAAGCCTCCCTCTAACAACATGAAGCCTCCCTCTAACAACATGAAGCCTCCTCTAACAACATGAAGCCTCCCTCTAACAACATGACCTCCTCTAACAACATGAAGCCTCCCTCTAACAACATGAAGCCTCCCTCTAACAACATGAAGCCTCCACTAACAACATGAAGCCTCCCTCTAACAACATGAAGCCTCCCTCTCTAACAACATAAACCTCCCCTCTAACAACATGAAGCCTCCCTAACACTAAACCTCTACAACTAAGCCTTAACAACTGAAGCCTCCTCTAACAACAAGCCTCCTCTAACAACTGAAGCCTCCTCTAACAACATGAAGCCTCCTCTAACAACGTGAAGCCTCCCTCTAACAACGTGAGCCTCCCTCTAACAACTGAAGCCTCCTCTAACAACATAAGCTTCTCTAACTGAAGCCTCCTTTAACAACTGAAGCCTCTTAACAACTGAAGCCTCCCTTAACAACATGAAGCCTCTCTAACAACATGGTCAACAACGAAACCTCCCTCTAACAACGTGAAGCCCCCTCTAACAACGAAACCTCCCTCTAACAACTGAAGCCTCCCTCTAACAACATGAAGCCTCCTCTAACAATAAACCTCCTCTAACAACATGAAGCCTCCTCAACAACGAAGCCTCCTCTGACAACATGAGCCTCCTCTAACAACAAGCCTCCACCCTCTAACAACTGAGCCTCCACTCTAACAACATGAAGCCTCCCTCTAACACATCGACCTCCCTCTAACAACAGAGCCTCCCTCTAACAACTACCTCCCTCTAACAACCCTAAAGCCTCCCAACAAACACACACACACACACAACCCACACACCACACCCCACACACCCCACCCACACCACTACCCACACAACCACACACCACACCCACAACCACACACCACTACCCACACAACCACACACACACTACCCACACCAACCACACCACACTACCCACCCAACCACACCCTCCACACAACCACACACCACTACCCACACAACCACACCACTACCCACAACCACCACTACCCACACAACCACACAC